ATGTGGTGCTGAGGAATCGAACCCAGGGCCTCATGCATGCAAGGCAAGCACTCTACCACTGAGCCCCCTTCCCAGCCCCCCACCTGTATCCTTAAATGACTTGTTTTTCCCCATCTCCTCCACAAATTATACCGACATCAAATATAGTGAAAGCAGGGGTTTACACTAATTATTTTTGAAATAGAATCTTGCTTTTTTGCCTATATTTGTGGTTAAGAAGGGGTCTCACATGCATTCCTCAGACTGGCCTCACACTGAATCCTCTTCATTTCAGTGTCATAAATAGCTTGGCCGTCAGGCATGTACCCCTGGCAGCCAGCCCAAAAGATAATCTTTGGTTATATTTTTATTTTATTTTTATGGGGCTTGAATAGAGCCCAGACCCTTGCATATTCTGAACAAGAGATCTGCTGAGCCACACACTCTAGTCCTCAATTTGGCTGTTTGTCACTCTAGGTGAACTCCATTACTTTCAATGGCAGAAAGTCACTTGGTACTTTAGACAGTTTTAGATGCTTTCTTGTCCTCTTCAGACCTAACTTTCTTCTTGAGTACTTAACACCTACCTTTTAAGATGTAGATCTCAGCCAGATGCCAGTGGCTTATGCCTGTAATCCTACCTACTCTGGAGGCTGAGATCTGAGGATCCTTGTTCAGAGCCAGAGTGGGCAAGAAAGTCTGTGAGAGCCGGGCGCTGCTGGCTCATGCCTGTGATCCTACCTAATCAGGAGGCTGAGATCTGAGGATCTCAGTTCAAAGCCAGCCCGGGCAGGAAAGTCTGTGAGACTTATCTCCAATAAAGCACTAGAAAACTGGAAGTGGCGCTGTGGCTCTAGCAGTAGAGTGCTTGCCTTGAGCTGAAGAGTGCAAGGACAGTGCCCAAGCCCAGAGTTCAAGCCCCATGACCAACCTAAAAAAAAAAAAAGGAAAGAAAGAAAGAAAGTCTGTGAGACTATTATCTTCAATTAACCACCAGAAAACCAGAAGTGGCACTGTGGCTCAAGTGGTAGGGCTCACATGGAAGAGCTCAGGAACAGCATCCAGGCCCAGAGTTCAAAGCCCCACGACTGACAACATAAATAAAATTGTAAATCTCTTGTTTGCTGTCCTTGTACGTGGTGTCCTGACACGCTGTGGCATGTATTCTTCATCAGCCCAGGACTATGTGTGCCCTGCGCAAGGAAGCCATGCCATATGCTCCTGCTGTTTCCAGCCCATGCCTGACCGGAGAGCTGAACGGGAGCAGGACCCCCGTCTGGCCCCTCAGCAGTGTGAGTAAGCCAGTGCATCTGATATGTGTCCTCCCACAGGACTTCTCCTGCACCCCCCGTGACTCAGGCTTCACATGATAATGACTTTGTGTGGAATGTGAAACAAGGATGTAATGCCTTTTTTCCCCCACCTGCTTAATCAGTTGATCCCATTATGACTTTTAAACAGTCTGTTTTCTCACCAATTGAAAATAATGCTCCCTATAGACCAAGTTTTCATATGTGGGTAGTTGTCTTTCTGGGTTCTTTATCTGTATGCATCCTCAAACCTATACCATATTTGCTGTAGGTGGTCTTCCTTATAAATCTAACAGATAAGGTATGTTTTTATATTTCTTTTCCTTAAAACAGCTGTTAGGGGTGGGGATATAGCTCAATAGTAGAGCATTTGCCTAGCATTTATGAGTCTTGGTTATGAATCCAGCATTTATTAAATTTATAAATATAGCAGCATTTACTTAATGGCTGCTTAGTTTACTCCCAACTGAAATGCCTATTTAAGTATATTACCTTTTCTTTTTTTGGGGTCCAGTCGTGGGGCCTGAACTCTGGGCCTGGGCACTGTCCCTCAGCTCTTCAGCTTAAGGCTAGCACTCTACCACTTGAGCCATAGCACCACTTCTGGCTTTTTTTTTCTGCTTATGTGGTGCTGAGGAATCGAACCCAGGGCCTCATGCATGCAAGGCAAGCGCTCTACCACTGAGCCACCTTCCCAGCCCACCTTTTCTTAAAAAATGCTTCCAAAAACCAGGCACCAGTGGTACCTCTCAAGAGGCTGAGATCTGAGTATTGCAGTTGGAAGCCTTCCCAGGCAGAAAAGTCCCCATGAGACTCTTATCTCCAATTAACCACAGAAAAACCAGAAGTGGCACTATGACTCAAAGTGTTAGAGCACTTGCCTTGAGCAAAATAGCTCAGGGACATTACCCAGGCCCTGAATTCAGGCCCCATACCTGACACTCCCCTTGCCAAAAAAAAGCTTCCAAATGCATTAAATTCAAGCCCAGGACTGGCTATTAAATAAGCAAGAGTATATACTAGTGATAGTGACCTCACTGTCAAGGTCACAGCTCATGGCCACAGCATAAACTCTTCACTGCGATGACATGAAGTGCTATGAGCACTTGGAGGTTGTTCCTGGGAAGGAATTGTCCTGAGACTGGACTTTGTGCAGTTGTCAGGGGGTAGAGAGGTGGGGCAGGCGGCAGCAGCAACATCAAACATACACTTGGGTAACCTCTAGGCAGGCAGTCACTGCGCAATGCTTCAAATCACATAGAGAACACTACCTTGTGCCTCAGAAGTACTAGTTAACACAGCAATTCAGGGAAGTGCTTCCAAAATTTGGTAAGAGGTAGTTTCCCTGCAGTAAGTAATCTGAAGTTTTGACTAAGTTCATATAGAATGCTTTCAGACATAGAGACACTACAGACTTAAATGTCTAACCCTATAAGGGTTTTGGCTAGCCTTAATCTAATATTTTCAGGGAAGTAAATTATACAGGATATTAGTCATTTAAAAAAAAACTATTATCCAGAGCCAACCATCAATGGCTCATGCCTGTAATTTAGCTACCCAGGAGGCTGAGATCTGAGGATCATGGTTCAAAGCCAGCCCGCACTGGAATATTCATGAGACCCTTGTCAGCCATGGGAATTGAACTCAGCCTGGGCACTGTCCCTGCGCTCTTCAGCTCAAGGCTGGCGCTCTACCACTTGAGCTACTGTGCCACTTCAGTTTTTGGTGGTTAATTGGAGATAAGAATCTCATGGACTTTCCTATCCTGGCTGGCTTTGAACCACAATCCTCATCTCTCAGCGTCCTGAGTAGCTAGGATTACAGGCGTCAGTCACCAGTGCCTGGCTATGTATGAGACTCTTACCTCCAGTTAATCACCAAACAGCCAGAAGTGAAGCTCAAGAGCTCAAGAGGTAAAGTACTACTGTTGAGTACAATAGCTCTGGGATTGTGGCAAGACCCTGAATTCAAGCCCCAGGACTGGCATAGGCGCGCACGCACGCACGCGCGCGCACACACACACACACACACACACACACAATCATGTCTACTAAGGTAATAGAGAAAACATTTGTGTCAAGTAGAAAAGGGGTATAATTGCAGTTGCTGCAAGTATGTCATATTTTTAGACCTAGAAGGCAGCCTGTCAGGATATTTGGATGCTGGAGCAGATGTGACCCATGAGTCCAGCTCCTTTTTAAAGTCACAGCTTTTAGTCGTAACAATTCAGTCATCTTTACTGTTGCATAGCCACTGGGGTGTTGGCCTCTGTGTCTTCGTTCTGTGGGAATTCCTTGTAAGCAATGTTTTTGAGCAGTTGAGCTCCTAAACCTGGAGCTGACAATAATTACACGTGAGTCCAGGTGCAGCTCTGGGGCCCAAATGACCCCCTGTCCTCTGTCCACAGGTACAGTGTGCCTACAGCCCTTCTGCCACCTGTACTGGGGTTGCCGCCGGAGTGGCTGTTCTGGCTGTCTTGCTCCATTCTGTGGTAATGTCAGTTCTTTAGCACTCACTTGTTTTGACCTTTGTTCTCTTGGGGAACTTGAGGAGGGAGGTGGTAGTATTGAATATGTACTGCTATATGCTGAGAAGGGGAGAAAGCCACTGGTAGTGATCAAGTGATATACCTAGCTTTTCCTCCTGAACTGCAAAGGTTTGCTGCTTTGGAAATCTCAAATTCATTTTGCCTCATAATACTTAAGGATAAAACCAATTTCTGATGCTGGAAGGATTAGCTATTTATACCACATTTATAACATCAGCACTTGGGAAGTGGAGGCAGGAAGATCTAGAGTTTCATGCTAGCCTGGTAGGTTACATATTGAGTTCAAGGCTAGCCTGAACTCAATATGTATAGTCAGATTCTGACTGGAAAGATAGAAAGAGAAGGGGGAATACAGGAGGAAGGGGAGAGGAGGTGGATCTCTGTGTAACTGTTCCTTTCTGTAATCAGTAAGGAAAATAAAATTGGTTACCCTGTTAGGCACACAATACTTAAATATGTAACAGACTTACCATTTCCCTATCTTCTGGCAGAGCTCAACCTGGGGGACAAGTGTCTGGATGGAGTGCTGAACAACAACAACTACGAGTCAGACATTCTGAAGGTACGGCAGGTGCCACCTTCCATCTCCCCTGGGGTCAACGGTGATGCAGTGAAATTCATTATCAGGTTTAGGACAAAAAGTTGAGCTCCAGTGGTCCCTGAAGGCTAGGTTTGGCTACTCCTACCAGAAGGAGCTTTAATTGGCATGGCCACATCAGGAAGAATCAAGGAGTTCAGTGACCCCACATTTATCTTTGGGATGCTGAAAAGAGCTTCCATGTCATAAGGGAAAGAGGCAGGAAGCATACAGGTTAATCAGTCTTGTCAGGCTGTGATCTGGTTGATCATTATCACAGGATTGGTTCTATTGGGAGTTGTCACCATAAAAAAAAAAGGCATCATTACCGATGGGTACATTTGACTCTTATCACATGACTTTATAGATCAGTCTTTTTGTTCTCAGAATCCAAGATGATTGCTGGTGAGAGATTCAGGAAGAAAACGTTAAAGAGGAAAAAAACACAGCCAGAGTGGGTCAGAATAGAATTTTTTAGGACAGTGACTGGGCATCCTCTTTCAGGTCTCCACTGTGAAGTAATCATTCCATTTCTATGGAAGGTGACAGGCTGAAGGTCATTTTCTATAGTAAGTACTATCTGCCAATAAAGGGAGTAGTAAAAATCTTGATATGGAGGACCTTGACAAGGTCAAAAATTTTAATTTCCTAGCCAGGCACCAGTGGCTCATGCCTGTAATCCTAGCTACTCAGGAGGCAGAGATCTGAGGATCACGGTTCAAAGCTAGCCCGGGCAAGAAAGTCCGTGAAACTCTTATGGCCAATAAACCACCAGAAAACCGGAAGTGGTGCTGTAGCTCAAATGGTAGAATGATTGCCTTGAGCTAAATTGCTGAGGGACAGTGCCCAGGCCCCGAGTTCAAGGTCCACAACCGAAAATAAATAAATAATTTCCTGTGCATTCAGCCATGAGGGGGGATAAGACTTGTTAGGTATCAACAATTGTAGAGAGACACTCCTTGAGTGATTAACATGTCTGTGTAGAACTAAGAAGATATATGACTCAGAGTTTGAAGACACAGGAGATAGCTGTAAAATGAAGGCAGGGAGCTAGTCCTGCTGGCTCACACCTATAACCCTAGTCATTTGGGAGGATAAGAATGGAAAGATTGGGGGTGGGAAGGTGGCTCAATGGTACAGTGCTTGCCTTGGGTTCGATTCCTCAGCACCACATAAGCAGAAAAAAAAAGCCAGAAGTGGCGCTGTGGCTCAAGTGGTAGAGCACTAGCCTTGAGCGGAAGAGCTGAGGGACAGTGCCCAGGCCCAGAGTTCAGGCCCCATGACCGGACCCCTCAGAAACTTTTAAGAATGGAAAGACTGCAGTGTAAGGCTGCTCTGGGCAGAAAAGTGTGGGAGACAGCCCTCCCTTCTCAAGCCATAGCTGAGTATATAGTGATAGATGCTTATTGTCCTGGATTTATAAGAAGCTGAGATCAGAGAATCAGGGTTCCAAGATCAATCCGTCAGGAAAGCCCATGGATAGGCTGGACGTCATGGGATGTGCTTGTCATCCCAGCCTAAAGAGAAAGATCTCCGGTCCAAGGCAGGCCCAGGCAAAAGCAAGACTTCTTCAATAATAACTCATTCACAAAATGGGCTGATGTTGTTCTCCAGTGGTATAGTGCTTGCCTAGCAAACACAAGGCCCTGAGTGCAAACTTTAGTACTAAAAAAAAGTTGGCTACATAGCCTGTTTTTTTTTTTTCCCCCAGTTTTTAATTTGTGGGCTCGAATGAGAAATCAGTGCTTTTTTAGAAAAAAAAAAAAAAAAGTACTTACTGCAAAGGTAATTACAAAGGTACTGCCTTCCCTCTCTCCCTGGGGTTAAGTTGGACACACTCCTGGTGTTTTGTTTGAAACCTTGAGATAACTCTACAACTTATATGGTTATTGTCAGAATTCTTAGCATTTTCTGACCAGTATAGTATTTGTTCTCTGTATTACATTTGTACATAGCTGTTTTTCTCCATATTCCAAAAATAAGTGTTTCAGTTTTGCTGGTCACACCATGAATCCAAACCCATAGAAATTGTCTCCTGAAAACATAAAGAGGTTTCCTGTAAATGCTTGCTGGCCTTTTTCTTTGGCATCTTCCTTTAATTAATTAATTAATTAATTAATTTTTGGGTCTGTGGTGGGGCCTGAACTCTGGGCCTGGGCGCTGTCCCTCAGCTCTTCAGCTCAAGGCTAGCGCTCTACCACTTGAGCCACAGCGCCACTTCTGGCTTTTTTTTTTCTTTTTGCTTATGTGGTGCT